CTCGCCTCGAGACGTCTTGCTCCGAGGCCCCCCTACAGCAGTCCCCACCCTACCTCCTACCCCCTGCCTCAAGGCATCTTTCCCCGAGGCCGTCCCCTCCCCACCCTACCTCGAGTCCCCTTCGCCCCCGCCTCGAGGCGCTGTTCCCCGAGCCCCACACCTCCTATTTTTGTGTGCACTGACATTTCATCAAGAACAGCTTTAGAGAAGAAAGATATTAGAAGTTTACCTCAACAAGCCAATCAACTCATATAGCGCGCCTACCCAATTGATTTCTTTCTGTACTTTCGCCATGAAATATGTGGAAGGCCTAAGTCAAATCATATAGCGCGCATGCCCGATTGATGGAATCTGTGGGAAGGCCTTTTCTTTGCCTAGTACAATGATCAAAGATAACATTATAACATGTTTGATAACAAAATCTTAGTAAAACTGCAATTCATGTTTGATAACATTATAAAGAGATTTATACCTCAGATCCTCGCAAGTGTTTGTATCAATGTTGACAATCTTATCCCCATATTCCAAGTCCACAAGTACATCATATATCTGCTACAGGAATTAAAAATAGATAAATCGTATAAATAGATGTTATAGTTAAAATGAAATTTTAGAACAAGGACTACTCTCTGCTGAAAAGATCAAAACCTGCTGCTATGACATGTTCTGAGATGTAGAGGGTGCTACACACCTTTTTCTAGATGGAATGAACTGCAGCCAATTCATGGTCATCTATGCATTCGACCTCCAGACTTCTCACTGTGTCAGAAGTTGACATAGATGGCAGTGATCTTAGGCACAACTGCATCACTTCTTTGAATAGAAACAGGTTTGCTGCTTCGTCTGACAGAGGAGGATGATGGCAGAACAGCAAACTGCATTACTGGTGCAAGTAATGCATTAAGAAATGTTCTTAATCCAAAGCCAAAAATGATTCCAAAGTTTATCACTAGTTCAGATACAAGAAACAATCTTTTTCAATTTACTCACATTGCAAAACAACTCATTACAAGGTTCATCAAACTGTGAAAACTCAAAATTATCAAAAGTTTCTTATAAATTTTGTCCCTAACAAATTAAGAACAGTAATAAAATCATTTAAGGAGACAAAAAGCAGGAATTGGTCCACTGATCCACAGTAATGATCTAGAATGCCACTGGTCCACTTCATGATTTAGAAATTTTTAAACACAAACTGTTGTTTAAATTGACAACCAAGAAGGACTTTCTACAAATTGACAGCCAAGGACTTTCTAAATAAGAGGAACCGAAATACTCGAAATGAGAAATGCAATTCAATTGAACATCCACACTGATTTAGAAATTTCTAAACACAAACTGTTGCTAAAATGATTTCGACTCCTGTAAAAGTATTTCAGATCGCATCAGGCCACAGACAGGGCAGCATTGGAACATGTAAATCATTACAACCAACCCTATTTCTAAACAGGCTTGCCAGATGCCAGACGAAATGGAAAGGTTTACAATATATCATTTATAATGCACTTCAGAATTCATATAATGAGAGGGGAAACTAACACAAACTCATTTGACAGTATCTAACAGAAGGAAGAAACAAACACAAACTTGATCAAAATGTATTTAAAAGAAGAAGGAGAAATATATATTCATGCTCTCAGAAAAGAGCCAACTATTAACTGCAGAAAAATAGCTTAATGAATACACTTGAAACCACTGATTCTAGACGAACTTTTGGGACAACTTATTATCAAGACTTAGTTACATAGATAAATTTGATCATTTTTCAATCAAAATATTAGAACAGGAAATTCAATGGGAGTTAGGCTAAACAAAATTTACATCGACATGAATTAGATAAAAAGCTTAAGCACATAAGCAGCTGATATCCATAAATGATTTCTCGATGCTCAAAAATAGACGATATGGCAGATTAAAGACTCAAAGCAAAGCTAGAACTCACTGTTAGCTAATTATTTTTTAGAGCAAATTAAATGGTTAGTACTTAGGACAGAAATTTAAACCCGAAGGCACGACATACAAATGTGAGCTTAAATGATCCCAAAACATGAAAATTAAGCTACTATGTGCATTTGTAAAGCAGAATTTTTTCTTCAGCCTATTAACACTAGAACTTTCTTCAAATGTTCAAAAAGCAAAGTGGACAGATAAACAAAAGAAACAAAAAAGCTGCCCTTTACCTAATCACAGTCGCTAGCTCATTTCTCTACCAAATCGGAGAAAGATGCCTCACGATTCGCTATTGTATGTACAACTTGTCTCATCTTTTAAGACCATTTTATCCAAACATAGGAGAAATTGCTCGCTATGATGTCCATTGTAAGAAGTCATTATGAGCTGCCAAGTAGGTAACCGATTCACTCACATTGCCAAATTTCAAGGAGTTCTTTTGTTTAATATAAGGTTATCCCAACTGGACCTTTACAAGATAGTTAAGAAGAAAGGTGTTGAACGTTCCACTAGCACTCATGGAAATTGTATAAAAAGAGAATCAAGAAAGGTTTGTAGGATAGGGAACAGTTTTATAGATTTGGGGAATAATCTCTAATTTGTTACGTATTTATTTAGGATGCATCCACCACGTTCCAATTTGAATAGAATGAGGAATAGTCTCCTAACTCGCTTTGTCAAAAGAAGCAGACGGTAATTACAGATGAAAATCTGAACTTCTAAAACAATATAAAAAATCTTGGTAGATTACACTTCAAATGATAGACACAATTGATAGGCCTCCATGAATAGGTTTGTTATGATGCAGGACAAGATGAGATGGTGCATCAAAAATGAATTGGGGGAAGATGTTTCAAATTTTCCATTCATAATACTTCTTAACCATTAAAAGAATACTTAACTCTAACATAATTTTTAAAAGGATAAAACAGTGAACTTGTTTATACAGGGAAGTCAATAATCAAAGAATTCAACTACCAAATATCACAATCTCGACCAAAAAAAGAAATCCCGCAAATCCTTGCATATCAAAACCCCTCATTTGATTTCTCAATCATTTTTTCACGAAACCCCACTTAACATTAACCATTTTACTTATTTAATCCAAGAAAGAAAACCCCAGAAAAAAAATTCACAAAACCCACCTACATTTTCCTTCCGTACACAAATTAACGCAAGAAACCCGATAACTAACAAACAAAAAAGTGAATCATCAAACCAGTAATCAAAAACATAGAAAGACTCACAAGTTTGGAGGAATGAGAAATCGAGCAGAGACAGTTGTGTGATTGGAGATATTAGAAAGTACCGGTCGTTTCTTAGCCGCTCCAGCATTCAATTTTCCGGTCTGATTATTCTCCAACCCGGATGCATTAGCCGCCATTGCTTGTCTCTTCGCCACAGATGAACGCCTTTTCTGGGTCGTCGTCTTCTCCTCCTTCTAATATAAAACGTCTTCAAGAAAACGAAGAAGAAAGCTGTTAACTTCAAGTAAATGCGGGAAAAGAGGGGTGATTTGAATTGACTATCCGTTAGGAGCTGACAACGGAAGGATCAACATTAGGGATTCGTTCTTGACTTTGGTGCACCCAGAAAAAACCTCGCACTTCCCCTTTGTTTTTACTTTTTTTTTTTGGAAAAGATAAATTCAAATTATAAGTAGTAATTATATGGTAATTGACAGATTATATTAATAGAAATAAAAAATTTGTTATAAGGAATGAAATATGTGACCTTATACTAGGTTTAGTACATTTGAATTGAATTTAATTGAATTTGAAAGCAATGTTTAAATTTAAAGTTAGAAAATGAAATTATTAAAGTCAAATTATGAGTAAGCACTGAAACAATAACATATTCGATAAAATCTCATGACTTAGCTAGATTCAAAGAAGATGGTGTGTAAGGTTTTGTTTCAAAATTTTAAAATTATAGTTGGAGATTATTTTGAATTAGTTTTTGTTATTAAAAGGCACATTTGAAAAAAAAAAGCTCCATGAAGTTCTTTCACAAAAAATTGAACTGTATTTTCACGTCCAAACACAATAAAAAGAATGATATATTTTAGGCATATTCTCCAAGTACTTATAATTATATGCATTCTACTCTAAGATAAGAAATGTTATCGTGATTCGTGAACTACAAAATGTGAGAATGTATAGAATTACTATCATGAGTTAACATTCCGGAAGATTTGCACTTGTATTTCAACATTCAAACACACATGAAGGTTCTTTTTTTAAGCATAAATCTAAATACGTTGATATCAAACAAGTCAAAAGATCCTTATGATTGCAATTCACTCTTCATTCTTATTTTTGCTAGTTGTTACTAAAATAATTTGAACTACCCTAAAAAAATAAAATTACTTGATTCAAGTTAATTTTTTTAAAAAAAATCGATACACAAAGAAAATTAGAAGGAAACTACTAACTACTAAAAGTAAGAAATATAAAAATTAATAAGAAGATAGATGGAGATTACATAACTATAAAGCATGCAATGCAATGATCGACTTTTTGTAGATTAAATCTAAATGTGAATATGAAATTTTAGCTCTGATTTTGTATATTATTTTGTTCTAAACTGAATGAGCTCTGATTTTGATAAGGACAAATTTTGCAATGAATGGTTATCAGGGTGTATCTTTCATTTCAACTTCCTATAAATAATACTACCTCTGTCCATTTTTAATCGTCATAGTCTTACCGTCTAACCGTTGATACTCCGCATCATCACGGAGAATTCAATTTCACCGGGTCCATGTCGGAGACAGCGGGACAGTCATTACACCATTTGTGCAGGTTTTTACTTATGCAACAAGGAATTTCGCTAATTTTTAAAGTCAAACGATGATAACTTTTACTAATATTTTACGATGTATTTTTTCATTATATTGATATACAAAAAATTAGAATTTATAATACTTTTCGTATAGTTTTTTTGAATATTTAATTTTTTTTGTTTAAATATCGAATTAATGTAATCTAATTTAACTTTGAAATTAGTCAAATTAACTTTCGAAAAGAGCAACATAACAGTTAAAAAGGGGATAGAGGGAGTATGCTTTAAGATAATAATTTCACAACAGACACACTACTTGTAATGATTGAAAAATAATTACACCCTCTTAGAAAAAATATATTATTTGATGGACGGTTATATAGCGTAAAAATTGAGAGTATATAACACATTTAACCGCTCGGTTACAATATATTTTAACTCAAGAATATTGGTATGCCCTAAAATGCACCTCTTCATGGAGGTGACTTGTCCTTCTCATTAGTATTTGTAATTAGACACTTCAACTCAAGATATAATCCTGATTCTTGGCTTTTCAACCCCTTAATAAAGGATTAGTTGTGCTTAAGCACTTGTCTCACCAAAGTGGGGGCCTTAAGGAAAAAGACACAAAAAGTAAAGTATCAAAAAATCAAGCAAATTATTTTCTAAATTGTGCCTTCAGTATTGACAAATACGTCTTTGCTGTAGTCGGCAAAAAGTATATGATTTTCAATTTTACGTATAAGTATATCACTGTCTCTCTTTTATCGTAATTATTATTATTATTTCATTTAAATTTATCACATAACACCCTAGTACGGTGGTGACACCTTTCCATTTCAAGTTATCATGTCTTTAAGTAACATCTTAATCTATTTTTCTAAATCTCAAATATTTTTGCAAACAACTTCAGTTTGTCAAGTCAACTTATATTTTTTATACTGAAGGAAGTAATCCTGTACACAACAAATACAATTTACCAACATGAAATTGAGACAAAAGTTAAAAAGTTTCCATAACACTCTTTTATATAAGGAGATTAGATATTTCTTAGAGAAGAAATCAGAATAGTGGGATGGGAGCCAACAAAAATGAAGAAATGAAGGGTGTAATGACAAAAGTAGCCATGTGTTGAGACAAAAGAACTTTATCACATACAGTGGCGGAGTTAGAAATTCAAACAAGAGCTCAAAAAAATTAAATCTTGTGCTAAAGGATTTATATATATATATATACATATAAAATCATTTTTATCCTATTTATATAGTATACTATTTCAACAAAGGCGTTCAATTGGACCCTCTGCCTCGGCCCCTACATATAGACATAGAACCAGCCAGAAGGCATATTAGTACAAACAAAATCTTCCAAACCATCACAGCAATAATACCCCCTATGGCCAACCCTGTCCTACAACACTGTGTCAAGTGTCCATCTTGACAATGAATCTAATTGAAGACAGATATATTTGGAGGAAAATCAAGATTTCTGAAAATTCCATTTGTTTCTTTCTTTTACATAAAATTCTGCAAGAATTTAACTGTTGTGCATTTCCAACACCAGCAAACCATGATAAAGAAATCATTGCAGATAACCTCTTATGACTACATTTGGTGCAAAAAAGAAAACTGAAATAGAAGTACAGTAGATCAGAGAGTACATACACACCCTCATTGTCATCATAATCATAATCATGTCAGGCAAACTAACAGTCATCTTATTCTTCTTGTTTCTCAACATATCTTTTTTATTCCCAACATCCATTTCTGGTTTAAATCAAGAAGGGGTTTCTTTAATGTCATGGCTTTCCACTTTTAACTCTTCTGCTTCTGTTGCACCTTTCTCTTCATGGAATCCAAGTCATGAAAATCCATGCAAATGGGATTATATCCAATGCACCAGTAATGGATTTGTTTCAGATATCAAGATCAGGTCGATCAATCTTCCCGCGATATTCCCAAGTCAAGTTCTTTCTTTTCACTTTCTGGAAGTGCTAGTTTTATCAAATTGTAACCTCACTGGTGAAATTCCTGCTTTTATTGGAAACTTGTCATCGTCTCTGAGGATTTTGGATCTCAGTTTCAACGCTCTAACAGGAAGTATTCCGCCTGAAATAGGAAGATTATCACAGCTAAAGCAACTTTTGTTGAGTTCTAATTTCTTTGAAGGTCAGATACCAAAGGAGATAGGAAGATGTTCTGAATTGCAGCAGCTTGAGCTCTTTGACAATCAGTTTTCTGGAAAGATACCTGAAGAGATCGGTCAGTTAACGAGTCTTGAAATCTTTCGTGCTGGTGGGAACGTGGGAATTCAAGGAGAAATCCCAATGCAGATATCAAGCTGCAAAGAGTTGGTCATTTTGGGTCTTGCAGATACCGGTGTTACGGGTCAGATTCCACATAGTATAGGTGAACTCAAGAAGCTGCAGACTCTTGCTGTTTACACAGCTAATTTGACTGGTGAAATCCCTCCAGAAATTGGGAATTGCACTTCTTTAGAAGAATTGTTTGTCTATGAGAATCAAATTACAGGAGAAATTCCAAGTGAACTCGGTCTCTTGAAGAATCTTAAGAAGGTTTTGCTTTGGAAGAACAATCTGACAGGGGAAATTCCAGGAAATCTTGGAAACTGTTCAAGTTTGAAAGTGATTGATTTCTCTGTGAACTATCTATATGGTGAAATCCCTCCGTCTTTCGAGAATTTAGGCACATTGGAGGAGCTTCTATTATCAGAAAACAGCATTTCTGGAGAAATCCCATACTATATTGGCAACTTTTCCAGCTTGAAGCAGCTTGAATTGGACAACAACAACATTTCAGGTGTGATTCCACCTACCATTGGGAAACTAAAGGAGCTAAATCTGTTTTTCGCTTGGCAGAATCAACTTCACGGGAGCATACCGACTGAGCTAGCAGATTGTCGGAAACTTCAGTCTTTGGATCTTTCTCACAATTTCCTTACAGGGTCCATCCCAAACACTTTATTCAATCTCAGGAACTTGACTAAGCTGCTGCTGATATCAAATGTTCTGTCCGGTGGAATTCCACCTGATATTGGAAATTGCACCAGCTTATCCAGATTACGCCTTGGATCAAACAGGTTAGATGGTCCAATTCCTCCAGAAATAGGGCGTCTACCGAGTTTGAGTTATCTTGAACTGTCGGAAAATCAATTCACTGGATCAATCCCTCCAGCTATTGGCAACTGTCCGCAGCTAGAAATGGTTGATCTTCATGGAAACAATCTTCAAGGAACAGTTCCTTCCTCTTTTGTGTCCCTCACTGGTCTTAATATATTAGACCTATCCATGAACAGAATATCAGGTAACATTCCAGAAGATATAGGGAAACTCATATTACTGAACAAACTCATACTGAATGGAAACAACATAGACGGAACGGTTCCTAAATCACTTGAACTCTGCCAGGATTTGCAGTTGTTGGATTTAAGCAGCAACAGACTCGTGGGCTTAATCCCTGAAGAGATTGGTAACCTCCAAGGACTAGATATTCTGTTCAATGTAAGTCGTAATTTTCTGACCGGACAGATTCCTGAAAGCTTCTCTAACCTCTCCAAGCTAGCCAACATGGATATTTCTCATAACATGTTGACTGGAAGTCTTAGAGTACTCAGTAACCTTGATAACCTTGTTTCTCTGAATGTTTCATACAATAACTTTTCTGGTGTTCTTCCTAACACAAAATTCTTTCAAAGTCTCCCTCCTAGCGCTTTTATTGGTAATCAAGAGCTCTGCACTGACAGAGCTGCATGCCACTTAAGT